AAACTCGAGATCGGGAGATAGTTATGCAGATAGAAACGCTCCCGCGTGCGCCCGCGGTTGGCGCTTGCGTTTACGCTTCAAGTCGCTACGTTCCGTTCTGATTATTATCCGTAACCTCAGGCAGACCGTGGCACATCGGCACACCAAACGCGATCCCTCGCACATGTGCGAAATGTATTTGCATTAAACTGCTGTTTTAAACGGTTATGACCGTCGCCTCGTGAGCGAACGTGAAACCGCGCGCGAGTCGATACTCCTAACACACTGCCGTGGACGAAGACGATTTTCAACGGCGACTGTTCTAGAACGGATTCTGTTCTACGGCTTACGGCTGATGGATATGTTCGTTATGTGGTCGAGCACAGTCTTCTGAACGAAAACACGGATTAAGCAAAAGAAAGTGACCAACTGTTTAATTCGTCAAGAAAGCAGGAAAAGCGAAGGAAGATCTTCATTACGGATTGAAACAGCAAAATATGCCAGAATAATTCAACGATTATATTTACAAATCATACTGTATTTTCGATTCGCCGCATTTGGGAGCTTTTTCTAAAGTAACAAAATACTAAAATGTGAGGCTCCATAATGCACAGTCGAAATAAAAGACCTATAAAGCCAAATGCAAGGTTAAGGTACTTCAAAATATTAATAATTGTCAGTCTTAATAAAACATAAATTAGATGTAAATAATAATAAAATATCGTGATATTTCTTACAACTAAAGAGAAGTTGCGATAAGAAACCAATGGATCAATAAAAATAGAGACAAAGAAATATATTCATCGCGTCCAACTTTGAAAAAATAAACACTACATGTTTCTGTCATAAGTCATTTCGTATATTCAACTAACATGATGCAAGCAACTTATATACTATTTGATACTATTTGAGAGAAGAATATTCTTCTCCATTTATTACATGAGATATAAGCTTTTTTGTGACAACTGACCCACGTGACTTCCGGTCTTCCTTAGTTTCTACGAAATACATTTATTATTCAAGTCTAATATATTTTATTTTGTTAATGTATTTTATTTCAGCTGACAATTGTCTCGATCTTGATCTTAAATTTGGCCCGTTCGATTCCCATGTTAATTTCCCAAACATAAGTTGCCAAGAGGACGCGAATGACTCGCCTCGAATAAATGAGTTATATTTTCTTCAAAATGTCATGCATTTATTTGTCTCAAACAAAAGCTTATAACCTAAAAGTCAACCAGAAAAATCCACAAAAATAATCAAAATTTTCTGACAGAATTATTCTAAAAAAATCATTCATGAGGTGGACGGCTCGCCACGTTTCGAGCCACGTTTCGACGAGAGTCGAAAAATTAAAGTAATCTCGGTCAAAATTAGTTTCGCCCAATCTCGCGCTATTTTATACAACACATGTACCGTAGTTCTGTCTCTCTGTTTCTTCCTCCTCTTCTCCGATGATGTGTCTGATGGTAGATCGAAAAGTAATTCCCGTTAAGAACGCACTTCTCGAGAACAGTAGTCTCTATCACGCCTACGAATGGCTCGCGATGCAAGCGATTACCGGGACCTCGATCCGCGAACTCGCGCGATCATTACTTAACGACCGCATAATGCGAGGAAAGGCTTGCGGTTGAGAATGGCACGCCCGGCGGAGAGCGCGCGATGCTCTCCCGCGAGTATGCACTCTCCGCTGTCAGTGGGTCGTCGAAAGTGATCTCACGATCTACCGGTGCCCGATCGACGACGAATGTATCTCCCGGCGTGGAAATACGCGTGGGCGTCGATGCACGAAATCTACACTCGATTTCGATCTCTCGTGCCGATATCGGCGCGCCCGACTCGTATCACTGACGTCTATTTTAGGGTCACGTCATCACAATGATATCATCGATTGAATGCCTTTTCAGGCGGGAAGCTCCGGTGATCTAAATGGATGACGGGGGTCAGAAAAAAGGGGGACGAGTTCCACATCTTGCTTATTCCGCCTGTACATGGGATACCCTCGTGATTTTCTACGACGCCGATAAATCTCGTGTCATGCAATGAAAAGAAACGGAGATTCACAAGCTGACGCGCAGATATATGTATGCAATCAACGTTCAAGAAGCTGATAGGATACGGATATAAAAGTGACGGCGGTCTCAATGTAAATTGGGGTATTCAACCTTGACTTTATAACCACTCGCGTAATGGTATCCCGAAAAAGACGCAACTTCATCGTATGATGCAGATCGTTTCTATACTAAAAAAAATTCTCAAGTATAATTTCTAAAAATAAAAATTATGTTTCGCGTGGAATGCAGTTCCGCTTCTTCATCATGTATACACCCAACAAAAGATTATTATTATTATTATTATTATGACGGTAATCCTTAAGATAATCTTAAGGCATCCTTAAGATATTATTCGTATTTCAAAAGTAATTGAAAAAATTTGGACAAAATTTGAGAAGTCTTCCCTACATGTAAACAGTGCTAACTTTGACTTCAATACATCAGCTTCGGCATGGCTAATCTTTTCTTAATTGCACATACAATCGAACGTATTTCGGTTAATATACTGTTAGAATTTAAAAAGAATCCTAAAAAAATTGGTTTATGACACAACCACCTTAATTATCGCAATTATTTCGATTGCGCGGATTTCGTCGCGCAGAGAACCCAAATACACGGAAGACCGAATGCTGATCCGGGGATGCACGTTGGAATCGCCATAAACACGGCGACGACTCGGCTCGATTGCGACGCTAAATTTGGCACACATTTCTGAGGCGCAAAACAAGTTTCCACGATCGGTCCGGTCGCTGGTATATCCCGATTAGATCAGTCGGTCCGTTTCTCTCGCGAGCGCACAAGAGGAAGCGAGACAGATCCTGTTTAACCCAAACCCTGGAAAGCTTGACCCAGTAATTGGTAAGCTTACCAATGAACGACGGCATGTCGCATATAAAATGTGACTCGCGACATCGTCGAGAACCTTCTCCCTATCTTAGACTTAATAAATCTCGAATCTTAAGCCGCGCAATTAACAGAATGACCGTAGGTAATCTTAATGATCGCGCGACGATTTGCATCCTAACGGTCGCCGTAATGCAACAAATACGAGTTCGCGACCGAGTCGGAAGCGCATTATCGCTGAGCGATAACTATTATCTGTTGCCATATATCGTGTCGTAGCGATTGGTTTTATTATTGATCACTCCACTGAATCATTTCGACAATAATAACCACCATTTGCGCAATGCTCGTCGTTCACCGTGACGATAAATCGCCGATGTTTACCCAACCCGTTGGAGGCAGTCGCCGTACGATCCGGCGGTTATTATTACTCAAGTGGTCCCTCCGAATTTAACCTTCAATAGGATCACAGTCTACATTCCTTCGTTAATGTCCAAGCAGTCGATCGAAACGATCGACAGAGAGAAGCGGTCCGAAAGTAAACTCGCCCATCATCGCGAAGACCCGAGTCAAAATTTTAATGCAACATCAGCTTTGCATATTTTTATCGAGAAAAAGGGGGAATTCCGAGATATAACACTATACACAAAAAGAATATTGCTTATTCTTTCATATAAATTCTTTTAAACAGTGCGGTCAAGCGCTCATAAATATCTCGTCCCTTTCTCAAAAACTTTGAATATTCCAATAATACATCGATTTGAAGCTTATGTGGAATATAGATTAAGAATATAAAGTCTCGATATTATTCTTGGATTCGTTTAGGAGATCAACGGTCAAAAGCTTGCAATTTCGCATAGATGCTATATACGTGAATTTTTTACGTGTTATCAGAGAATGATACAAAAATAATATTGAGATTGTATATTCTTATAATATCTATTTGTCCTGAGCTTCAAATCGATGTATCATTTATTGGGGTATTCAAAGTTTCCCAAAATTCATTGGAAAAGAGATAAAACTTGGCCGCATCTTTTACCATGTTTCTAGTTGTGCAGGAATAGACTGTCAATTTTTCTAAAGAACATAAATCTTGTTAGACATATAGCAAATTTTTTAGCACATTTCAGTTCGTAAAATATAAATAGCACATATGAAATAAACCTCCAAAATAATATAATATTATCTTTAATTCTTTTATGAATTCTTTTATGGTCTCAAGAGGATTCTTCCTTTAAAACCACAAAGAAAATATTCCATTTATTATTATACTTAGAATACTGTCCTTTTGTTTCAGGAAGAATCCTCTTGAAACCACACATAAGAGGTTTCTGCTAAGAATGAGATTGTATCTTTTTGGAATAGTTGCAGAATGTCGATCTATTCCTCGATTATAACATTTTCATTTTTGCCAAATTCTCTCTGCGTGCAGATATTGGGTGCAAGTGATCACTTATTGAATATAAATCTGTAATTAATTGTGTTCTCTCTTTGATGTGTTAATTATAGAACTTAACTTTTCTATAGATAGAACATGTGCGACAAGCAAATATTAAATAATTAATATGAATGAACGATGGAATCAATGACAAATCAAACACAACAAACTTTATTCACTTACTACGTTTTCCTTATTATCCTTTTATTGGCATTAGAAATTTCGGTGCAATTTGGATATTCGAAAGAGAAAGTAGAAATTGTAAGGCCAAATATAATAGTTGTGCACTAACAGAGACTTAAATTTAGACTCGGTACAATAACGAGGCTAAAAGAAAATTTCGCAGATTCAAAAAGGAACTTACAGTTCAAGAAATATTATTAGACGCACAAAATAACGAAACCTACATTCTAAAACCGATATTCATAGATGTAAATTAATTACAGTCTTCGATTGAAAACACAATTAATTACAAATTTATATTCATGCACTGTTGGCTGTATTTCAATTAATATTAAGTACATATTGACGAATAATCAGAGATTCATATGTAATACCATGATTATTCATTAAACAATAATAGACTATGAGTACCGATATAAATTTTGACATCTCGCCATTCTCGATATGTCCGTTAAACTTCCGTTAAAATCACTACATCCTGCGTGATAAATAGTTTGACGCACCTGCAAATATGATGTGTCGATACGCGCGTCGCGGTATCCTGCGTTCGCCATCCCAGCTTCCCGATCTAACATCCTGCTCCTGGCTATTTCGCCGTGGGGCGTAGTAATACTCGCAACACTAGCACTTACACTGACACTCGCGTAGATACGATTCGATACGAGAAACACGCGTGAGTTAACGCGATGCCGACGACAGTCAGATTTAATATTTTCAGAGTCGTCGATATATTTTAATCTCCGGACGGAAATTGTGTAAATAACGTACTCCACGTCACAGTATGTCTGTCGGCCCGAGACATAATAATTCGCTCACGGAAAAGTACGCGACGCGCGAGAGTCCCAAAACAATTTGCACCAAAGTCACCTCTCGCCAATCGTCAACTGCCGTCGCTCGTCAGTCAATAACATAATCTTAGTAGTCGAGAGATCACAACAACGTTCTCGAAACATTACGCAAAACTTATTTTGAATTTTAAGAAAGTTGTTTACTCACTTCTGTTCTATAAGTTATTCTGGGTTGAAACATCGCAAAAGAAGGTATCTTAAAACTTAACTGAAGACTATAAATAATGAATTTTTTTTAACTAAAAAAAGATTATATAAGATGAAATATAGAAATAACCAAATATTAAATAATTCTGGAATATATATGCCTAAACCTTGCCATGAGGAAAACAGTAGTAAGTAATTATTTGCAACGTCAAAAAAAACAAATTAAAATAGCCTACACTGAAAACAAGATTTGATAATATCTACCCAGCATGGATAATAGTTACAAATGTTTTGGTGAAATAGTTTCAACTTAATTTAACATAAATGAATATAACCAAATAATTTAGTAAATATTAGCAAATAGCTTTCGCAAGGCTTGGTAACTATTATCACTTTATGTGGTACGTATCTGCAAGCAATTTGTTAAATAAAATCATATTGTTTAGCAAATACTTTTCACTAGAGATTAGATTGATGTAATATATCTTAGAACAGATCTTTTATCAAATAATTTAGTAATTATCAAACCATTTGGTAATTATTACAAAATTATTTCATCAACTTAATTGAAGATTTTATTACTTATTTTGTAATTATTACAAAACAGTTAGTAACTATTACCATATTTAGTATTCACTAAATATTGCACTGAAATATTTAACCAAATGGATTTATTAACTATTACCAGATTTTTCTTTCAGTGTACATAATGTTACACATCTCGAGGCGCTCTATTCTCCCTTTAAGTTAACGAAAAAGTTAATGTATAACCAAAATCTCGACTCGATAAGTCAAGGGGGATTGCGGACGGGATCGGGCGTGAGTGCGACTTCTTTTATCCGCGTTTGGTTGACAAATGTCTTCCAGTTCACACGATCAAGCCAAAAGGCAAAAAAGCACCTTGCACGGCGGAATGCAAAAAAAAGGGCGCGCAGGCGGACGAAGAGGAAGATCCGTTTGTGTCATCTGTCTTTCGGCTTGGGAGAACGCCGAGCGTCGCACTCCCTCGCTCGTCGTTGCGGAAAAAACGCGAAACGCTACATTCGACACGCACGCACGGCCACGAAACGCTAACACTATTAATTGCATCATTAGGTCTTGCACGAGATCCAAAGATAAGATAAATAAAGGTAATGAGTGAGCGTGCGGCGCATGTCTGGAGGTTTGTTAACACACGCGCGGAGAGAACGTCCTTATTTAATTAACATTTTAATATATCCTTTGATTTTTACGTTTTTCCAATTAATCGTATATACGTAGCTACAAAGTCACTACGGGGAGATTCGATTATCACGATAATCAACCGAAGAAAAAAATGCAACTAGAATTGCAATCGCGATTTTTAATATCGAGATCGTCGTGACACTTGAGGCATCGGTATTTCTCACGGAATAATATCGGTTAAGATAAAAGTATCAATATTGAACGCATATCTAACACTGGATTCCTTCTTATCAACATCCCTTCTTATGTATTGTTTTGGTCCTTGAATGCAAACATTTAAAACTTTATTTTACATAAATAAATATTTAAAGCTTTCAATACAAAATAAGGGAGACTGGGGCTAGTTGGTCAAATTTTTCTATTAGATATCGGAGTAATATGAATCCTGCATTATTCTGTATTGCTAGCCAACTTGACACTATCAGGATAAGATGGTCACGTTGCAACATATTCGAATTTGGATTATTAGAACAAAATATACAGTTTACAGTATAGTTGTTGGCATAAAAACATAGAGACCTAACCAATTAGTTGCCTGAAAGTTGTAACTTCAAAATTCTTAAGTGTATTATCTTGCATCAGTTTCCCGTATACAAATATTCAATATGTGTATATATACATTCCATGTAAAGTCTAACTCTCCAGATGACAATATATTCTGCTTCTTTTAGATTGGTAACCAGGATCATTAATGTCTTACTCGATTTTTCTCCCTTTGAAGTGCTCGAAAAAATCTTTCAAAATTATTGTAACTTCTTTTACCTTTCTACTTGAAGACCACATAACTTTCTTGTGAAAAATAGATTGCTAAGTCCTTTATTCTTAATAATTTTTCAACAAAGATGTTCCGAAGAACGAGCACCTTTTAGAATGGCACGAACACAAATGAAGCTGGTTGTCAGTTGGAGGGTTAAATATCCAGAGAGAAGAGAGCACCATATTAAAAGATAAAAATGCCCAGAATTAAATACGTATCCGGGTACTTTTACCTTACCCGTATCAGAAGATGATACGCGGATAGATCTGTGGGAGCTTTGAAGCTCGGATCACTCGTTAGCCGATAAGTGGTCGATCTTTCATCTGGAAACGATATTGGGTACCGATTACATCGGGGCTATAAGTTTCTCGTAAAGACCACGTTAAGGTACACCGCGTGCCGACCGGTAGCAGCACTCGCAGGCACTATCTGAGAAATAGTAGGAGGCTGAGAGGCGACTTCCGCGCCAACTAGTTTTAACGACGAGCCACCGCCATCGGCTCGCCGCCTCCCTCGCGCTGCTCCTCTCGCAGGACGACGGGACTCCTCTTGTTTGCTTGCGCTGCATCGACATGCACCGATGCACTCGCGATGCACCGTCGAAGGACGACGCGGAACCGACGCGCGTCCGATCAAAACGAGCAAACGCCGTGTCGCGATCGTACGACGCGACGGTAATCTGTAGCAACAGCTGATAATCGAATTGGCGATATGAGCGCGACGAGAACGCGTATTCAGAACACGAGGCTGGCGAACTTGGCGGAACTACCGCGGTATCTCCGGTCAAATCGTCAGAATTTATGCGAACTATTAATATAATGTATCCAGCTTAATCTGGAATTACTCAGAATATTTTAACTAATCTAAAATTACCTACTCTAGTAACCTCTCTCCCCTCTCTTTCTCTCTTTCTCTCTTTTCTCTTCTTTTCAAATAAGAAAGGGTGAACATATGACTCCATACTATAAAACTATCTTAGTTAAAAATGGATTCTTTTTAAAAATGGAAGAAGATACTTTTCGTTGGCTGTACTCTGTATAAAGTCCTGTCAGAGATCTCAATTTCGCGGTTTCCTATTGTGTGATACACTACTTAAAGGCACAAGAGTTGCTACTGATTTATTAGGTAATAAATTAATTTGTGACCTTCACAATTAATCAACTGTAACTTTATTTCTTGAGCGAGGTTCAATGCCGCAACAAATTCGATATGCTTGGTGCGTATCTATCTTGAAGGGATTTGTCCCAGAGCGAGTAATAGATGAAGCTTTTCTCTTCCTATCTCTTTCTTTTTATCTCTCTCGTGTATACCATACACACATACGCGCATCTCTGTGCGCACAATCACGGAATGATCTTCGGAACGCGAAGCGACAACACTCGCGAAAAACCACGCCGGTCCGAGGAAAAGCGCTAACGGTAAATCTTGCGGTCGATATTATTTGCATATTTAATATCGGAATACACGCGAATATACTTTGCCGGCACGCATGCGGTTTGTACGGCGAGATAATACGCCATTATATTCAGCCCCATGCAGTTAGCATTAGAATAGCGACGATACTTACCCGACGCGTTAGCCGGCCCTCTCTAAGCGCATTTCGCGAGTGTATATCCGCTACGCGGCTAATGAATATTTATACCAGTCACGCGGGAATGCAACGGTGACACCTGTAGCCGAACGCGCGGCTTACGCGAATTCGCAAACAAGAACCGGTTCGTACTCTCGGGTGCCATTGGGGCCGTTTAGCGTAAAGTCTCTAAAACAGATGTATCAACAGGGCCGGGAAGAGAAACACGGAAAGCGACACGGGGATGCCGAACGAAGCGAGAAACTACTTGGGACGTGCCGTGGGAGGACTTCGCGGTGAGGACCCGTCGACGTCGCGTTCGATTTGTCGTAAGACTCGGCGAGGCCTGGCGATCGACGAAACGATCGATAAAGAGTCGATGATCGGTACCGCCTCGGTGCCGCCGAGTGAGCAGTATTATGGCACACTGAGGAAACGACCCGTCGCACAGTGTGATATTTTCGCAATCTAGGTGGACAAAATGAAAATTTTTTATTAAATCATAAAATTAATAAAACATTAAATTTTAATTGTAAATAGATCATATTTAAAGGCCCCATAATTATTTTTAAAGAAAATAAGAGGAACATATAATAAATGGATTTGAAACTTCTGCTGTTTGGGTCGCAAGAAAACAAACACCTATGAAAGCGCGTCATTCATTTCAACTTCATTTACCGATAGCATTGTGACTGTACTGTAAAATAATATTAGTATGATATTATTGCATTCTTAACTTATCAAGATACACTTACATATTTTTATATATTTTCTAATGCTAATTTATTAACTCTCTAAATTCTTTTAAAGTTTAAAACTAACATGTATTACTCTCTTTATTGTCACATTATAAATATGTTTATAACATATTATACCGCATTATACCGTGTTGGGACAAATTTTACGTTAAACCTGATTCCTTAAGCTGTACAAATCGCGAAACTTTTGTTGCGCATATTTGCGAATTCAATTAATATAAATTAATGAACAATTAGTAAAATGTATCATAGATATACGTGGATTTCACTACACGGAACGGAGATACGGATTGTAATATACAATCCGTTAATTAGTTTACATTTTAGAAAACTTAGTGGGTTAATAAATTACTATTAAATTTTTTAAAAATATATATTGTGACGTGGCAGCCGTGGAGGCGCCCGTCACCAGGGAATTCGCGAGATTGTTTCGTTTTCCCTGGTGACGGGCGCCTCCACGGCTGCCACGTCACAATATATATTTTTAAAAAATTTAATAGTAATTTATTAACCCACTAAGTTTTCTAAAATGTAAACTAATTAACGGATTGTATATTACAATCCGTATCTCCGTTCCGTGTAGTGAAATCCACGTATATCTATGATACATTTTACTAATTGTTCATTAATTTATATTAATTGAATTCGCAAATATGCGCAACAAAAGTTTCGCGATTTGTACAGCTTAAGGAATCAGGTTTAACGTAAAATTTGTCCCAACACGGTATAATGCGGTATAATATGTTATAAACATATTTATAATGTGACAATAAAGAGAGTAATACATGTTAGTTTTAAACTTTAAAAGAATTTAGAGAGTTAATAAATTAGCATTAGAAAATATATAAAAATATGTAAGTGTATCTTGATAAGTTAAGAATGCAATAATATCATACTAATATTATTTTACAGTACAGTCACAATGCTATCGGTAAATGAAGTTGAAATGAATGACGCGCTTTCATAGGTGTTTGTTTTCTTGCGACCCAAACAGCAGAAGTTTCAAATCCATTTATTATATGTTCCTCTTATTTTCTTTAAAAATAATTATGGGGCCTTTAAATATGATCTATTTACAATTAAAATTTAATGTTTTATTAATTTTATGATTTAATAAAAAATTTTCATTTTGTCCACCTAGATTGCGAAAATATCACACTGTGCGTCGTGTAAAGAAGAGACGCGGATCAGCGGCGAGATTTCAAGACGATCTGTGTGCCTGTGTGCGTCGAGCGCGAGGCACGCGTGACTCAAATCGGATCGAATAACTCGTTTAATTGAGAAGGACGAGGAATCGATCAAGACACGGGGGTTATCCGCTCGGCTCGGCCCGTCAGGCGGGAGAAATCATCCGCGCTCTTACGGCGATCCGCTCGATAATGAGGAATATTACGGGCGAAGCTCACGGCGCCGCGATTCCTTTCACCGCTCGAATCTTCCGTTTCGGGCCCGAAGTAGCCGAGCACAGTCGGTTCCACGGAATCAGAATCGATTATCGTAAGGAGAAAGTGGGCGTCAATTTTTCACTCGCGGCCCTCGCTCGATTCAGCGCCGGTCGATCTTCCTCATCAACATCCGCCTCCTCCTGCTGCCTCTCATGCACGCGCGGAGATTCCGAGTCCGGATTGCGCCGAAACCTTTTTGACGATTTGACATGAATGCGCTTTTGATAGCGGACATAGAGAATAGCGTGCCCAATCGCGCACGGAATAAAAGTGGAACGAGACTTTCGAATATGGAGATTCATATGTGAATGAATATGCACTGAAAGAAGGAAGCAGGCACCAAAGTTTAGTAATTGTTCAAATAATGCGAGTCAAAGTGACAATTAGGAAATAATTTATATAAAATTAAATGTATAGAATCAAGATTTAATTGCTTCAACTACACCTTTAGATCGTCAAACTAGTTTCTGGAAGTTTAATACCAAAATCAGGGAACAGAAAATGAGATATTTGTTGACCATTACTAAAGTTTGTGCCTGAGAATTGTATGTAATTTTTTTGTTTCATTGGAAAAATCTCACCGTGTATTATATAAATTACTTTAAGACATCTATATTTTCTATTTTTTACTTCGACGTTTTCTATCGTTTCGAAATTTCGTCCGTGATTTTGGTTAAGTAAAACAGGCATTTACTTTACGTCGATATGACAAAAAGAATCATGTCCATGATAACAGTAGTTCTGGAGTCTGTCTCGAGGGAGAAGACATAGAAGCGGCGAAAATACTAGTTGGTATTTCTTAAAACTCGAATACAGGAATATAAATAGTTCTTTTCACAGTTCATCACATAAGCAAAACTGCAGTCGATTTTTGCGTCTTTTATTGCAAAAGTTTTTGCGTCTTGTGCAAAAGCATTCGCAATTCTATGCAATCAATACGAAGTAAACTTTGTAAAAAATGTTAATATTTTGCCGGTAAAGTTATGCGTCTCCCTAATAGTTTCTTGCAATGAACAGAATATAGAAATATATAAATGTTGTGAAATGTGAAACAGAATATAGAAATGTAAGAAAAGTGTGCATTCAACTCACGTTAACTTTGGCGAGATAGAGCTCCAGTTCCCTGTACGGATCCATCTCCATTGCCCTGTCGCTCGTCACCTTGTCGTCTTCATCGCTCTCCACGATCTTCAAACGATTCGGCGTCTTCGTGACGGCCGAGCCGTTTTGCAAACGGCCGCCACCTTCTTGCACGGTCTCCATGCTCACGCGGTCACCTCGACGACCTTACACGCATTTTCTCGTGCACCTGAAATCGCATCATAAACTATGCGTTAGCAACAATAAAATCAAAGTCCAGCGTTTACGCGTAACTTATGATACCACTGCATCTATACGCGAAGATAACGTAAACTATTTATGATATGTATATGGACAATGAGCAATCTAAGCATGCTGTGTAACGAACGTGTGGCTTGCTCAAAAATTAATGAAGGAAAATTTATCATTTTATTTAGCCTTTAGAATCTAGACATAAATTTATAAACGTTGTTTCCTAAACAAATTAAGACTCACAAAGAGTTCTCCGGCTTTCACATTCTTATTTTCAAAGTTAAGTCCACCAATCTGTCACATAATAAAATAAAAACTTCACACAATTTATCTGTTTTAAACATTACATTTATAATTAATATTTAAAACAGGCGGTAACTGTGTAAGTACAAAGACGAGACTAAACGAAATTCAACATCGCGGTTTAAATAATTACTCTGCGCATCTATTATTACCATCTAATACCGTAAGAGTATTCGAAGTCTAGAAGACGATGAACATCTCACCTATTATAAAACCGATACGCAACCGATTAATCACGCTAGCGAGCAAGTAACACAATAAAGAAATAATAACGCGCACGGCGACGGGTGCTTAATCGAGAACGAGAAAAGGGCGAAAAGACGAAAGGAGAGAGACCTACGGGTGTATTCTCGCAAAGGCATTATAATTAGCCCCGCCGTGACTCACCGCAGCCGCGTCGCGCGCGGTCCGTATAATCTCGGCTTGTCAAACACTTGAAAAGGGTAAAATGACCACCTGCGCTGTTATGATTGCATTTGGCTAAATTTAGCGACCACACCAAGAGAGCGTTACTCACTACGGCTAATTATATTTCGCAGATTAGCCGCCTCGGCCGAACTTGAGGAGGCTAATCTGGAATTAGCGCTGCACTTTGTATTCTCTTCCTCGCCGCTTGTGACCGTGTCGCGTAAGTTCGCGATGATCTCTTGCTCTCCCTCGGTCTTCTGCCCTTTTTTGACGGATAAAAAGTATTTTCCCTGACATGTAAGTATTGAAAAACGCGGCCTGCGATGACCACTAGCCGTGGCTGTTTTCGTGTCTGAGTATCGATTATGTAGAAGCTAGATGTCATATCTTAATATTTTGAAATTACAACCTCAGGCAATTGTTGCGACTAACTGTATAAATATAATAGAAGCAATCTTCTTCCATGTATTAATGTCCACCACGACCCTGTTATATTTTGTTTTGTAATAACAAACGTGCAGCCATTTTGCCCTAATACTGAATTCAGTTGCCCAATAAACGCAGGGTAAAGAAAGCCACCTCGTCCGTATGCTCTATTTCAATCATTTTATAAATAAAAATTGCATTTATTGCTAGAAACAATATATCATACATTTGTAAATTTCATTCTTGCTAGTAATACATCGCTTAGTTTCATTCAGTCACAATGGAGAATACTAATCTGTCATCAGAATTCAGAGAGACCTCATGCATTCTATTTCGTTCTCTTTAAATCTTCGTAACATCTTTAGAATTTTTTTCTGTTGGCTGCTATGAAATTTCAATATTCCACAAAATTATGAGATATATTATAAGATATGGAAAATTATAAAAATTAAAATTCATCAAATTCTATCTTTCCAATGACAGGTTAATAAAATCTCGAGAGATTCGCAAATTTACTTTGCTATTACCAAATCAATTTTTTTTCTATTCCTTAACTGTAATATTATTTCGATTTTAATAAAACTCAGGAAAAAATATTTATTTTCTAAAAGGATCATTTCGCAATTTTATACTTGATATTCGTCTCATGATAAATACTAAAAAAAAACACATGAACAATATATTTCTGGAGTTATTTAGCCTACATTATCTTCTTCCTTTACGTAAATTTGTGAAAAGTGAAAAGAAAATTTTACATTTCCATTGGTTCGTATAAGAATTTTCACATCTCCATTGCTCGAGAAGTTACACAATTGCTGAAGTCGAGTTCACGTAAAATTTTTCACTTTTCACGTTTTCACTCTTAGGGAAAAGTTACCATAATGGGTCCTTTCGTGGACGTTACACGGTATCGGTGTACGGTATCGTTATGTGGTACCGGTACGGTATTCTCTCGTGCCTCGCGTGTGCGTTGGTTCTCTCGTGAACGTTATTATACGGTATCGGCCATTAACTCACGAACAGAAAATTAGATTTCGCGATGAAACACGATCAGTACGATTAATGTGAGCTTCAACGTTTCATTATTCGTGAAAAAAAAAAATTACACAACACGTGCAGAACAGATGGTATATTAAATTTTATGGGTGTGTATTTCTCTAATCTTTCTGAGTTTTCATAGATCAGTATAGTAAAGTAAATTAAGGAATTATTTGTATCCAGGCTTTTAATAACTTTTAACAACTTTACATTTCTGCTAATACCGAAATTTCTAAAACTTCATGTGTATTCTAAAAGAAAAATTAGCAACGGCACTTTTGAGACTCAATAACAGCAAAATTCGTCAGTTATCGTTTGAATAGCAACTGGAGCAAATCAATCCTAGACACGAGTAATCTTCCTATTCACTTAACGCATACTTTTTAAGTGAAAATCTGCGTCTTTATATTTCAATA